CGTATGATTTCAGACCAAATTGCACTCCACTCAGTTCAATTACCATTATAAATTAACACCTGCACAAGTGTACGTCAGACATTTGAAAATGCATCTGATATCTATTGACCATATTATTTATTCCATTGAGACACTACCAAGTGGGCTTACCTCTGGAGAAGAAATGTTTCTCCCTGCTTCATGTTCTTCATTTTCTTCTGTTTGTTGTTGAGTTTCAAGAGGATGTGCAAGCATACCCACTTAGAAAAGCAAAAATAAAACCACATGAAAACTGTTATCAATTGCCTTGATGTTAAGTAAAGGGAAGATGATACCAGAAATTTAAATTAATCCCAAAATGGTACACTTTATTGCATTGACCAGTTATAGCAGCTAGAAAATCATGCAAAAAAAACAAAACAAAAACAAAACAAAACAAAACAAAATACCGCAAACCAGTCCTTACATGTACTTTTCACACCAGAAATGCCATCAATAAATATAATGAGGTCTGGCACAAGAATTAAGTCATTTGAATCTAGCCATAAGTACACAAGACTCATCTCCACATATATTTCCAACATAAATTAATAGCCTTGCATTTTTCAATTTTAGTTGGAGTCATGTCTGATGAATCACTGTACATGCTTTGTTCAACATTTATGTTACCTCCAGTCTCCTCCTTTTCTGGTAACAAGACAGCAGGCAAAGTTGATGGCAGCTCCAAACCATGCCGCAGTGCTACCACCAGATGCATCGCGATGCAGAACTCATCCAGGTTAAGGGCATTATCCTTGTTGATGTCTGATAGGTGCCTAAGAGAAAACGCACAGGTATATTTTTTACATACAACTCTTGACTAATCAACAAGCAATATAATTGTCTGACTCACCATATCTTTGACAAAACCTCAACTGGTAAGCTAGACTTCATAAAAAAGTCCCTTGCTCTAGGACCTTAAAAAAAAAATAACAATTAATAACTGGCAAGAAGAAAATAAATAGTATACATGACCTTGCATTACTGGACAGCTCCTAACATAGATTCCAATACATAAAACACAACAGTGACTGTATCCCTCCTTCCTCCTTACAGTGGTTCTATTCAACTGTCATAATCTTATGTTACTGCACCTTTCAATAACATGCAGACTCTAAAATTCAAAGCTCAACCAACAAATGCGTTTTTCGCCACCGTCAATCAAATGTTTTTGGCGGTTCCACCCAGCCTCCGACTAATGCTGACCACTGTTTCATTGTCTTAACTGTGCTCAACGATTTGATTACCACACGCTCGGCAGTAGTCAGAAGTTGGGAGGAGCCGCAGAACATTTGATTGACAGTAGCAAAAAATGCACTTGTCGGTTGAGCTTCGAGACCGCATGTTATTGAAAGGTGCAGTAATCTTCATGTTGGTTACCTTGAACAAGTCCATCTTCAACTGGTTGCAATCTTTTAAACTGTTTTGTGTAGTACTCTCTTTGCTCAGGCAAGATTCGCCAAATATTGTCTTCAGACTCTTCCTCAAGACTGCTTATGCTTTCTGCAAAGCTTGCAAGTGATGGAGCCCTAGCATATATAAGAACATTATTTTTGACAATTTTATAGTTGTAGAAAATTATAAGTCTAAATGTGTTTCAAGAGTTCAAGTTGTGAAATATATTGAAGTCTATCGAGTGGCAGGTCAGAATATTTATTAGTGGTTTACTACTGCTTAGTGAGTTTAGATCTAAATTAAATGATCACTGTTAACACTCATTCCATTATCTTTTGCAACATTAAGCTAGTACTGTGACAAAGGACATAAAAACTTATTGGGCAGCAGTCAACTTAATATATCAACTTCAGTTGTATTTTCACGCTTAATGATAAAGTGAGTTGAAAGGGGAAAAAGCTTAAAAAATTATAACAGGAACAACGTTTCAGGAAGAACTGGTCAATTGTACCTCACTGGAGTGAAAATTAATTTGAGTCATAAGTTACACGAAACAAAATTCATTCTCAAATATTTCCAGAGGTTCATTCCAAAATTTTCAACAATCATTCCTGCCAAATAATGGCAGTCTCCACACTTGACCTATAAATCCCAAGTTTTATACCATACTCCACACAACTGTATGACTTTCTAAACCTAAATTCTGTATTACAAACCTAAGAAGTACTTCTCCCTCTTCACCCGCCAGCTCTGGTGAGCTGCTGCGATCCACATCTTCATCACTTGAACTGTGCTCTTCATCCAGTTCATACACAAATGAGTTTGCATCTTGTGAAGGTTCTTCTGGCACAAAAGCTGCCCACTGGCTATTGTTCACTGGGTAACTGTTATTGTTGTTTGCTGAATTATCACTATCTTTCCATGTTCCTAATTAAAAATATGGCACCAGATTAACTAGAACTGATAACTAAAAATTGAATTCATCTTACTGTCATTCATCTGCTGATTCTAATATTTTTCATTCATTCATAGAACAAGAAACATTATTAAGTATATACTCTGCAAACAAGTTCAGACAGTCACTCAATGTACGAAAGGTCTGCATTTGAGCCCAGTGGCCTATCAGGCCAGTGCTTATCTCTGGTTTCCATAGGATGGAGCAACTACAACTGGAACATTTTTACTTCCTCCTGGATGGGATGCTAGTCTGGGGTTAGTCCCAGCATACATTCACCTGTTCATACATGTACACCTGGGTGGAGAGAGTCATTATGAGAGCTAGTTAAGCGTCTTGCCCAAGAACAAAATGCAGTGACCCTGGCCAGGGCATGAACCTGGACTGCACAAACTGGGGTACAGCATGCTTAACTATCACACCATCATGCCACCACACCACTCAATGTGACATAGCATAAAATGTTTCTACTGTAATAGCGAAGCTGTTTCCTGCACATACTGCAAGGTGTAGTTATTGTAATATCACAACTGGAGCTTACTTTCTTCTCTAGGCTCAGCTGAATTGTTTACCCAAGAAGACTCTGCACTGTTTGACAGTGGTGGAGGACTAGCAGAAGGTTGTGTTACCCAACCAGAGCTGTGTGCCAATTCACCTGATCAATGTGAAGACATGACAATAAAAAAATACTGTGGAAGGCATTGCATTAAAAATGAAATATATTTTAATAATCAGACATTAAACTGAAATCTGAATGAGAATCCAACTGACTGCAACATTTTCATGGACCAACTCCTGGCCTTCTAAATAGCATGACAAATTTGACATAATATGGTGCAGGCATTTTAAGACTTGTATAAAAATGAATTCTTTTTTGTTTTGTTTTGTTTTGTTTTTTTTTGCAGTAAACCTTTCAAAGTTAACTAGGTCTAATTTATCATTCGGAGTTTCATAGATCATACACTGTATCTACAGGTTTGGGTTTGCCCTGACATGGAATGAAGTGAGAAGTATGACTACACAAAGCTGTCATCTATAGACAAATAATTAATAATAATATTACCTCCAGGTGTAGCTGAAGGTGGCAAGGACTGAGCTCTGGTCAGCACATGGGTGGGATGAGAGCCTGCCACTACCTGACCACTATACACAACACCTTGAACAGGACTCCCACTAGCTTGGTGATACTGTGGCACCACAAAATGGCCTGGCTGATATGGCTGGCGAACAAACTGCCCTGGTATTTGCTGTGAGGGTGGCCCTGGGGACTGGAAGGCGGTTGGAATAAAGTGAGGCGGCTGAGTTGGTACCATGTAGACAGCAGCCATTTGTTGCTGTTGCTGTGGCCAGTTTGCTCTCTGTTGCAAGTGCTGAGGAGGCAGCTGCTGCAGTGCGACCGGTCGTGGTGGTGGAGGAATAACAATGTTTTGAAGACATGTTTGTCCCTGGTAAACATTTGTTCCTGGAAGATTGATGGCAGGAGAATCCACTGGAGATGTTATACCTTCAGTATCAGGGTTCACTGCAGCCATGTCGGCCATTTCAGCGGGTTGCACTTTGGATGAGCCTGTTATTGAATTGTTATGTTCTTTCTTCCCATCAGCCTTTTTGAATGCCATTTTTTTCTTTTTCTCTGTTTTCAGAAAAGAAAGCTATTAAACACTTGTTTTGTAAGGATAAAATTAATTCACAATCTAGTCGTGACGCTGTCAGCTTATAAGCAGGCCATTTCTGTTAGTATAAATTCTAGGCACAATGGTGAACAGCATACAAATTACTCATTAGAAATACCATAGATATAGACATAGACATACTTTATTTAACATGGAAAAGTACACACTTAGCTGTTCGCTAGTTTCCAGGTGCCCCACGATTTAAATTATGTAATGTACAACATTATAAAAGCATTAAAAAAAAGGCATTTACATCAAGCTAATTTAAAAATCACTTAAAAAAAAAACAAAAAAAACAAGCTAAAAGCGATAAAATATAATCAAAGTGTATTAAACATGAAAATCAGTTTGCTGAATCTTTTTCAAAAAGTCTTTTGAGCCTGCCATGGAACGAATATCACGAGGTAGCATATTCCACTGCTTTGCTGCAGCATAATGCCACGACTTAAGACCATATCTAGTAGTGTTCACTTTAGGTATGGAAAGATTAAAATTTCCGCGAAGATTGTACACTGCTCTCTTCTCAGTTATAAGATTTTTGAAACTGGATGGAGCCCTGCCTTGAGTAATATTGTTCACAGTCAGCAACATGTCTTGAGTGCGATGATTTTCTAAGGTTGATGTTGATCCAATACGCCCTAAGAGCGCTTCGTACGTCGAGATCTTGTTGCTGTACACAAATCTCAAGGCCCTCGCATTTGTTCTTTCCAGTTTTTCTGTGAGGCTTTCCAGTTTTTCTACCCTTGAAATATTACAAGCTGTAACAGTTGTAGTTGAAACGTATTTGTGATTTATTAGAACAACTGCAAGACTGAAACAACACTGCCAGCCTTTTGAATCTAAATTTTCTCAACTTTTTTTACTGTCATGGATGTCAAGGTCAGTGTTCCAGATAAGTAAGGGGTCTCAAGTCAAAAACCTGACAAGATCAGCTACATGACCCAACAAATTAGTAGAAAATTTGTAATGGGGTGATAGGAGCAGTGTGAAGTGACCCATTTGAATTCCTTATTGACACCCTACCCTGAAAAGTTACCTGGAATTCTGTAAGATGTTGATAATTAGCACCTTTTGTTAAGAGTTTTCCAAACAAAAGGTTACAATTATCATCATCTTACTGTGTCTGTGCATGTCGGCTTATGCTTATGAGCTAGTGAAAACCAGCTTTTACTGACAATCCTATCCAAGAAGATAGCCTTATATTAACCTGCAGCATCTGGAAACTTTTCTTTTTCTCTCTTTTTCTTATCCTGCCTATTGTCACCATCATCATCTCCTTCTTCCACAAGCAAGGTTCGGTTCATATCTAAAATAACAGTCAAAATGTCAAAAGAGTGTAAAGGAAGTGAAATTTGGAGCTGCCAGTAATGAGGCAAAAGACAAGTGTTTAAAAGTCCTAAAACAATGTCTGCCCAACCAGGGAACAAGGGAGGGGTTTACTTTAATTTGGTTGTAAATATGCATGGCTAGTTCACTATATCTGTAGAGATTACATTTTACATATGCTGGATGTGGTAAAGTGTTGTTCAATATTGCCCTTAGTACAATTTAGTATTTTCCTTTGTGATATGATTGTGATATACATTACTAATATTAATATTATATTACCATACACCAGCAGGGCTGTCAATGTGTGGTTCCAGAAAATATGAGTACCTTCATCAAAGATGACCCTTTGGATTGTTCCCCCCTCCCTCTGAAATGTCCAGTTTAGCTTCATACATGTACCTTCCCTTTAAAAATTTCCAATTGGCTACTGAGACNACAGATTTTGCACTTTGTTTGAATGTCTTCTACCGAGTGGAGCTAACTCATGTCACAAATTTACGTTCACGAATCATAAGGAGCATTGTGTTCTAATATTACAGTATGACAGCAATGGCAAAATCATATAAGACAATAAAAATAAGTCCCGTAAAATAACTACTAATAAGGCAATCATTGGCCCGCAATCACATCTTTGTCTACAACTGTATCATCAAAACAGGAACTTCCTTTCAACACTGGACATGGGGCATCAGCTCAAATATTATAGTAACACCTTACAAATAGAATACAGTAATAAGTTAGATTGTGTTTCTAATAACTTTAAAAGGAATGCCAAATAATATATTTTTCATATAAGGCTGACATTCAATACAATATTGCATGTCAATTAAGATTTAAGCTTAAGCTTATCGCTAACTCTACGATTTCAATAAATTACACAGCTGTGTAAACTTGGAATAGTGTAACCCAGAAATACACGACAACAATCTAGACATAATACAGCAGAGACAATCTTACCTTCCTGAAGTGTATTCTTTGCAAAGGAATCAAGATTTTACCCACTTTGCGACCAAATTCGATATCCTCAAAGTTCACGGATTGTTGTGGTTTTCGCTTTCAGTACGAAGCGAACTTGCTTGCCAGGGGGCCAAAAATAGGTCATTGCGAGCAACGTGACATTTTCCTATCATTTGCTTTGTTTTACGATAGAGGTAAGATTTTTAGTCCACCAAATATTGCACAATTTCACCAATCTCGGCCACAGAGTGGCAGAAGTCTGCGGCCATATTGGAACAAGTCACGTGCCAAAATATGCACTCCCGGATGACAATGGGGCGGAGAAACTCCCACGTCTCCCACGTAAGGGTTCCGCATCCTCCTCTGGGAACGTTTTCAGTGACCCTCCATTGCCCCAATTCCCGTTACTTTACCAGAGTAGAATAGTTTTTCTGATTGTTTCTTCATTAAAGTAGCGTATCGAAAGAAGATTTGGCTAAATGATCGAGGAAAACTCTTACAACTACACCCTTTCGTGAAACAAGTGGAACACTCTACAGCTAGCGTTCATTTCCAAAAGCATGCAAAGGGAACGAAACTGCGAGCGAGTGCTAAAAAATTTGGAGAAGTTGTGTCCACTGTATTCTTGAGACTCCCCACCTAATGTCCCTCTCACGAAACTGTAATTCGTCTGCTGGTTTTGCGAATGCGCAACTTCGAGCCTCGAAAGAAACGGGCCGGGATCGCATTCAAACAGTCTACCAACGGGGAGAACAAAGTGATTCAAATGTTATTTATTTGCCATAACTTGAAATGTGTACATCGATACCTTTAAGTGGCACTAAAAAAGAATCTAGATTTTTTGTAACTGTTGTTGCAAGTCAGTATAACTCACTTAATAATATATATGAAAAAATTACTCCATTTTGATTGGCTGAGAGCAGTGCAGTTCCAGTGTAACACCAGTTCTAAAAGTGTAACACCAGTGCAAATCACACATCGTAATTCTAGATTATGATTGGTTGAAAGAAAATAGGGAATTTTCTAAATCAATGATATCACGTAAATTGATGACCAAACTTTAGTGCGGAAACGTTGAAAAAAGTCTTCTCGAATGAGAGAAAATGGCTTCAAGAAAGATCTTCCGGCACTTCCTCCAAGCGAATTTTTTCATGTTTATATTATTAATAAGTACTCATACGGTTTTTCTCGTTGAATTTGGAATTAATTAGCACTTGTGAGTTTTTCAAAAAGCTGAAATTGCACGAGCCGCTTCGGCTCGTGCAATTTCAGTTCTTTGAAAAACTCACTCGTGCAAATTAATTCCAAATTGAACTCGAAAACGTATGTTTACCTATACAAATTCAAGAGTCAAATCACTGATATTGTTAGCTTGCTGTTATTTTTTAACACAAGCTAAATGTTCTCAACTCGAGAGATCAGATTGAAAAGCTATTATGCACAAGTAAAACAAAATTTCTCTAATTGCAGTATGGTGAACAGCTTCTAGCTTGGCACTACTAATTGCTGACCCCATTGCTTAGTATTGTTGCCGGCAGCATCCACCGTTTCATCATCGGGTTCTTTGTCCATACAGTTAGAGCTTGTAGCCGCCAACTGAACGTATTTTTAGAGCTACTTGAAGAAAATTTAATCATTTTATACAGATAATGTGTCCCCCGGAGTCTATTGTAAGCTGAAACTTCAATTAAAACGCTGAGAAATTCAACGGAACAAGTGTTGTTTTTGACAAGTCTTTGTAAATAGCTCAAGATTCTCATAAAATAGGGCGGAACTCGCGAGAACTAATCTTTCAATTCAATTCTTGACGAAGAAATAGGTCTATTTCGATATATATTAACACTTTCAAACCCCTTGACTTTTGGAATAAAACAAGTCGACGAAATGATACAGTCATCCTTCATCCTCAATATAATTTGTTATGATCTATTTCCTAAGCCGCGGAGCCAAGTCAAAAACATTAACCTAAAGAAACTGACCTACATGTATTACTACGCCGGAGAAATTTGAAATCGCCGTTTTCGCTCTGAAAACGCCTCAAACATTTTCCGTCCACCTGATGCCGAAGAAATTTGAAAACGCAACT